CGCGAGCCATTGCACCGCGGGATATTCCAAGATAGATGCACCTTCTTCCTGTCAGTCCTGGCGACACCAAGGGCAGAGACACACAGACGTTCGCCGCGGGATCCTAGCGTCGGCACGGCATCGATGACTTCAAATTCGGGCCGAAACAGAAGGGGGGACGACTCCGAGAAAACGAAATCATGAAAATTTTCGTCTACGGCAAACAACCTCAGTGCGCAAGTGATTTTACCCACAATACTGCGGGAGGTGCTACCTGACCCGGAAGTGTTCTTATTCTGACGGGCCATTTCCTGCAGTTTAGAGACGTGTTAATAGAGGGCGCTCGTGTACTGTGTAGTCGCCCAGGCAAGTTGGCTAGTGTTGGCCAATGTGATTTAGCCACGTTTAGAAGGCGTTAACTTTGTCATTACTGCTTGAGCTTTCCTAATTGATCAGGCAGAAATATAAACATGGTTTCAAGGTGATTAGAAATTACACAATTAATAAGGAAAAGAACAGCAGAATGTTGGCATCGAAGATCATTGAATCTCTATGCAAGACATCATGTTCATCCTAAGTTCTGTCACTTGCACAACATCAGATCTTGTCCTTGTTAATTCGGTCATGTAGCCATCGACGTGGCGTTAGGCATAACTGTGGCATCCTTACACGATGTAACAACACTTCTTTTACTTTCCAGTCACAGCATACTACAGTAATGAAGGTCAATGACCGACAGTCTTTCTCACTATGACTCATCCAACCATCATGTTTATCTACCCTGTTGTACAGTCATACTGTATGCCAAAAAGCAGTTACTCAAGCAACTGGATATGATTTTGAAAACGTCAGACGTTTCAGCTAGTATCCACTAGCTTTCGTCAGTGACTGAGAGACCAGAGGGGAAATGCAGGTTTATAAGCACAACCTATTGATTGATATGCAAATAAAGTGATTTTTGGAAGTCGAAAAAGGAACAAAAGTCAGACAAGTCAAGACAAGATGATGCAAATGTGAAAGTACAGTCATACTGAACTTGCACATTTTGCCAATTTTCCTAAAAGTATATTTGTGCACAATGGTGATGGCATTACATTTTGTATTTCACAGTCATGTTCTGTAAATACATCTTGTTTCTTTTAAGGTCAAGACTGGCTGCAATAAACTGAAGCAGTTTTTGGCGATGTATTTTCAGACTTAAAATGTATGTATTAAAAGTACCAATATGAAAAGAAGACAATGGGAATTGTTTGGAGCAACATTAGATTTACTGATAAAAGACAGGAGACTGGCTACAGGAAGTTAGTGTGGGCCTATACAGACATGAGACAATGGTCTACAGTGTGCTTTACTTTACAATGTAGTCTAATGCAGAGCAAACAATTAGGTTCCTCGACTAACAAACAGGACTGAAGAGACAGGTTGATGCTGAACAATGCTAACTGAGCAGCCTAAGTTGGTGAATATTTTGGAGGCTAAGTCTTTTTTTTTCACCTGGATGCCATCATGGCCTAATTCTGAGGCTAAAATTGTATACACGGTAAAATAGCCACTAAGGTGAGAGTTCAACATGGCTTAGTCACCCAGGTAACTGTTGTTGGACAAATACATCGAGGGTAGAGACACTGGTTACTTCTACTGGACAACATGAAAAGTTAGTTGAACTTTCTTTGCAAAATTCTACACTGTGGTACAAGCTTACAGAAAGTAGCAAGTGCATCTGTCTCAAACTCATACATAACCTGCTACTTTCTTTCTACATGGCATCTTTTACATATAACACATAATATTCACAAATCCTGGTGCTTTCTGCATTGCACACAGTTAAACAATACATTTTGTTTCAGACATGTCCTTAGTCATGAATACACATGAAATGCTGTAGTGTTGTCTGCAGCCCCCCCTCCCCTTACTTCCTTCTTCGTGTCAGAGGCATTCTTTCTTGTGAAGAATCGCAGTTGTGATAAAATTGGGCAGAGGTGGAAATGGATAAATAGATGCAGTACAGAAAACAAACTGCCACAACAACAAAGTCATTGCCTCTTCAGTATACGTATTGTGTATGTCTCTCCTACATCTATGTGCCTACCCAATTACATACAATAGATATCAGAGCATCATATTCCATACGTATAGGTATGTTAGAATTCAAGCTTACTTACAAGTGCTTGTACATCAAATTTATAACACAGAAGATCTTTCATGGCCTAACTAAACAACTTTGCCAAGATTACATAACTGTCAGGCAGGGAGAACAAAAAAAAACAACTTTCTCTCCCAATCAAAGAGTTCTAAGACAAGACTGAATATGGCCAGTTTCACAATATGGTACACAGAAGTCCCTTGGTGCTAGCCTGGGTGCCATCCGATTTGTACCGTCAACCCCCCCAAAATTGGCATTGCCGTTACTAATCGGATGGCACCCAGGCTACCTTCTTGCCAACTCAGACCACTTTAGTGGTTATCCTATAGACAGAAGACTTTTTCTGATAAGAATCCTTTCTTCTTATCTCCCCTACGGAGTTCTAAGATGAGCTTGAGGTGGCCAGCTTCTTCAGGTGATCCATGAAGATCTGCAGACTGACGTCATCTGTCAGCACAGGGGCACCTCCATCCTGTAATAACAGTATTTATTGTTACCTTGATGAAGGATAGACATCCAGGAAATACGATATTCAATCATGATACATTTAAGGCTGAAGTTCCGGAGAGTCAGCACATTGGATCATTAATATGAAGATGGTTGACGAATTTGACCGAAAATTCATGGTGAGTTCCTTTTTGTGTTGAAACAGCATTTAAACTCTACCATAATATCATACAGTCTGAATCTTTATTGACTCAATACTTGGTCCATCAAAGCAAGGCCACAGCTAACAGTTTTACTTTTAGTTACAAGCCAATAGCCAGTCCATACATTAAAAGGAATGTAAGGTCTTGATTGTCATCATCATAAATGTCAAACTTGTCAAAAGAGAAGAAGATGAAAATGTGATCAGTTAATATTGCAGAGGGGAGTTAAGATATTATGTAAGCTTGTGAATGTAAATTAACATGGAGGAGTTATTAACAAATGTACATTTAACATTCCATCCTGGGTGTTCTTGTATTTATTGCTTCATTTGTGATTTGTATGGCATAGCTTTAAACAACGTATATTATAATATATGTCTTGTTACATGTTCTGTAATGTTTTATGTATTGTGTCACAACACCTGCCTGTGTCCCATGTGTGTAATATTGTAAAAATTTGAATAAATCAAATCAAATCTTTTGTGCAGTTGAAAGAATCAATAACTGTTTTAAGAATTAAGTGTTTTGCAAAACTTTCACCACAGAGCAAGAAACTAGGAAACCTGCCACCATTCTTAAAAAGTGACTCGACACTACATTTGCCCATAATTCTTGCAGGATACTACTGGTGTCTAATTAGCAGAAGGTAGTGTGAAGCTGTATGGTACCGTGTAACTCTGTAGTTTGCCACCCAACCAACCAAGAACCAAGCAAGGTAGGGAGGAACCATGCAGGCATGGAACACAAACGGTCAGCAACGTCGTGGCAGGAACAGAGAAGGGGGTTAGCAACAAAACAAAACAAAACATCTAGTACCAAAATCTGTTAAAATGAAAGCTGTGAGAGTTAACTTCATGTTTCACATCCGTTTCATCAAGTTGGAAAGTTACTGAATAAAGAGACTCTTTTTACACAACCGAGTGAATAAAACTGGGTTGTGTGAAAAGAGTCTCTTTATTCCAAAAAACTTAATGTTACATGATGCATACTGGGTCCTTGTGGAAATCAACATTTATGAGTTGTCATATGATGAAATGGATAAATGCAACAGGTTAGTTTCACTTTCACTGAGATTGTTAAAGATGATGTTAAAGATACATGTATGTTACTTTGTGTTATGAGATGTGCAAATCTACAGCAGTTAGGCCACACCAATTTAATTTGTTGGTTCTCGGATTTTTCCCGAAAAAATATGAAGCGACAGGGCGAAAAAAATATAAAATAAAAACAGGTCTATAGGCATCCTATTATAGGCTTAAATGTTACAGAATGAGCCATGAAGTCAACACAAAAGGCTGGGTTAAAATTTAAACATTGAATTTTGAACTTTTAATCAAATCACTGCAATGATAGATGGGAAAACTGTAACAACTAGGAAGAAAGGACTTTCCTCAACTGTTGGGGGGCAAAACATGAGCATTTTTCAGTTGATTCAGGACCAGAATCAATTTTTTTTTTTTTGCAAATCAGAAAAAAATGAAGAGGCAAATCCGAGAACCAACAAATTAAATTGGTGTGGCCTTATAATAAAATTGGTAGAAAGAAGAGGAAACACTGACCGGTCCCCACTGGTACATGTTGTTGTGGGTTTGTGATGGGTTGACTTTGGTCAGCAAGAATCGAGCCTGTTGGTAAAAGTAGGAAAAAATACATGGGTTGAAAAAGTTGTTGAAACTCCCAAATATATGTACAGTAACTGAAATAAATCATGGGGCATTTGTATGTACTGTTCTAGTCCATTCCGAGTGTTAATACCTCTTAAACATCCATGGTCAGCTTTTCAGGTTTAGTCAAACTTTGTGAGTATGAGAGTATCACACTAAAAACAGTTCAGAAACTGCCATCATTTCTTTTGTACTTCATAGGTGATGACAGTGAATGCAGCTACATTTACATTTATATATAAACACTGTACATAGACAGGTGCAAATAAGGTGAAAATAGACATCAGAAATACCTGATTTGACAAGCCTAATTTTACCTGTACATATGCACCCAGTATTTCGAGCCCTACAAGATAAAGCTTGGTTGAAACGTAACCTTTCCATGCACACTATGGTAAGTCCATACCTGACTGCCACCAGACTGTGTTTCTATGTAGCGCGGCAGGGGGAAGCGTCGGGCCAGCATGTCCTCTGCGTCCGCCACAGGTGCCTGCAGCAGCTGCCGGAAGTTCTCGTGGTCGTCCAACTTGTCGTAACCTGCTGCCTTCCAGGCTGCGATGGTCTACATGGCAGAGAGAGAGAGGAGCAAAGATTAGACAGGACTGTTTAGGCTTTGGCTTATCTTTGACTGGAATTCCCTCATAAGGCCACACCAATTTAATTTCTTGGTTACCAGATTTTTCTACAAAAATAATGGAGCGGGCGGGCGAAAAAAATAAATAAATAAAAACAGGCCTAGGTATCCTATTATGGCCCAAAATGGTACGATAGGAGCCATGAAGTCAACACACCAGACTTGTTCAAAATTTAAACAATGAATTTTGAACTTTTAATGATGCCACTCCATTGGAAGATAGAATAACTGTAACAACTAGGAAGAAAAGGACTGTTTTCAACTGTTCAGGGCAAAATATAAGCATTTTGCAGTTGATTCTGAATTTTTATTTTTATTTTCAAATCAGAAAAAAACGAAGCGGGTGAATCCGTTAACCAAGAAATTAAATTGGTGTGGCCTAAGGAATAGTGGATGCTCCATCCTTGGAGTCTTTCCAAGATAGGTTGGCCCAGCAAGACTAAAACACCTATAACTTATAAAGTATAAGACCCCCTGCCACTAACACTGACACTGGAATGACCATATTCATCATTATGGTGATGTTGGCCTCCTCAACCCAAAGAAGAAGATTTGTTTTTATGAGTTTTTACGGGGCTCACTTTTGGTACTGGTATCTATTTTTACGGCAACCAAGACGGGTGGCAGATAGTAAGGCCATGTTGATTTGATTATATGGATGACATCCTCCGGGAACCCCAAAACTGATGCGCGCGTGCGAATAAAAAAAAAGTTTTGCAAAAAAAAAAGTTCTTTTCATTATGAAATCTACGTGGTCAGGAGAGTTGAGCAAATGGCACAGAGTATGGTTTGGCGAATAATCTAGTCTTCAAGTTCATTTCTTTACAATTTCGTCTTTTTTCGTTTGATTTTGGCATTCTACGACATTGGTATAGTTTTTATTATTTTTTTTTTGTAACTTATGTTATATTTTCGCTCATTTTGCAACTGTTTTGTACGATTTACAGTATGGTTGAAAACTTTTTTTTTTTTGGAAACGGCCGAAAATTCATGCGCACGCGGATGTCATCCATATAATCAAATCAACATGGCCTAATTGCCACAGCATCACAGCAGCTGTACAGAAACAGACATACATGCCATATATAAAACACCCACCTCTCCGTGGTAGATGAGGACCTGGAAGAATGTGTCCATCAGCAGGATGCGGTCAGGCAGGATACTGCTGCTGTCCAGGAGAACAGGCTGGAAACAAGGGGAGGAACGGTTTTAAACACCACATCATGCACTAGAACAGAGATATGCTTCTGAAATCACACGAATCGGCAGAATGCACTCGCATAGATATACTTTTGCACAGAAATATACTTCTGAAACAAGGCATTGCTAATCAGGCATTGTCATATCTGGTGGTTGAAACAATTGAAAGGCTGGTGTGAAACTGTGTCCTCTTCTGGAGGATAATTTTTCTAGCTCAAGAAAAAAGTAATTAACTGAGCTAGACATAGCTATAGGAAAAGACTTGGTAATAATGTTTACAAGTCAAGCATTGCAACTGTTAGAAGACAAAAGGGGACAGAGGGAAACACAAGTCAGCTCAGACAGATAACTTGCATTCCATTCCTCTCGTATATAGGAACTAAGAACAGGTTCAAACACCAAAATAGCTGATTCTGTCTTTTAACTGAAATAATTCTATAACCTATAACAATCTGGCTTGATTGAAGCTCTACCAGGTAAAGCACGAAGGTTTGCTTGGTATAAAAATAATGTATTATAATGTATATGAGGGACGTGCATGTATATATTGCCTGTCTTGTCCATTGTGTGCGCAAACTCTTTCCTCTAGTCTTTACACCTGTTGCAAGATTTGCTTTTTGGTGTAACAAGTAAATAAATAAATAAATAACAAAAATATTCCGACACCCACCTCCGGTGGTCCCTGGAAGGAGTACGAGTACAGGAGAGGCTGGATCATGATGAGGCAGTTAGTGAGGTCCTGCCGGTTCAGCTGATACCTGTAGTACGCAGACTCGTCGGGGCTGTTGTTGAACACTTGCAGGAACTGTGAACGCCTCATGTGGAACATGAACTGCAGAAACATGCAACAAACCACTTCAGGAAACCTTAGGGATTTGATTTTTTTAATTTGATTTCATTGAAATTGTAACAATACAATACACATGGGGCACAGGCAGCTGTTGCTAGCTGTTGATGTGTTGTGTCCCACACATACAAAATAACAAATACAGGACAGGACAATACTCATTTTCACTACAGTTAGGAAAGTCGTGTAAAGTGCCTTTTCAAGGGTACAGGATCGGTTAGCATGTCAGGACTCGAACCCGGGACCTCTTGGTTCCAAGGCGAGCACTCTGCCGTTGTGCCACACAACCCCACTAAACAACTCATTGGTATTGCTGATATTATTTCTGAGGAATAACATCTTAGAAACTGATGCAAGATTTGACGGCAGTGAGACAAAATCATCAAATATTTCTTGAGAGGAAACCTTACCTGAGGGTAGAGGGAGAAGTTCTCAGAGAATCTGAAGGAGTTGGGATCATCCTTGGTGTACTCTCCAAACTTCTGACACTGAAATAAAATAAAGCACAGAACATGAGTTTTTACATGTGTAGTAAAGTCTTCTCATAATTTCATCACAAGACAAACTTGTCAGCAAGATGAACAAATTTCTGACACTAAAATAAAAATCATACATAAACTACTGTGTACATGTGTAGAAAGGTATTTTCTTGAGTTCATCACAAGATAAACTTGTTCGCAAGATGAACTACTGGTACATAAAGTACAAAAATACAGATATCATACCAACAGAGCTCAGCTGTTAGTATGATAACATACATGTACTCACCAGTCTGATCAGGCTTCTATCCAGCCATCTCAACACATCTGGTCCTTCATCTGTGTCACTCCTAGAAATAAAGGAACATCTTCAGTCTTAAAGAAATGTGGTAAACAATGACAGACTATCTGAACCTTGTGTGCCTTCTTGAAGTAATTTCTGAACGTTCCTTTTTGAAATCTACGAAGTCTTAGCATGGCAAGACTCATCATACAACAGGGAGATTTGATAGGGACTCTAGGCCTCAAAGTTACAGGTTTTATAGCATTTTGATTTGTCCCAAAAGACCACAAATTTCAAAAGTCTGCAAGCACCAAGTACAACACATGCAAACCACAGATTCATCAACAATAGCCTATAGTGTAGAGTAGAGTATAGATAAGAGGTGATGATGATTATATAATACCTGTGGACAGCCAGTCGAGCCATCAGGACGGCAGCACACTCCTGGTCAAACCCTGCTGCGATGTGCTGGATGTTGGTGGCAGCGTCTGCCCAACTGTGACACAAACATGCGACTGTGAGGAACTCTCAAGGCTCCAAATTACAGAGATGGTTGAATTATGATACACTATAGAATGCTTTTGAAACTTTTGTAACTTTTAAAATGTTGATCTGTTATTTCCTCTGCATTTTGAGGAGCAGTTTTGCTGGTAGCCTATGCTTTGTTTAACAACATCTATTTCTATATCTTTACATGACAATTTCTATCAGTCAAAGATGAAGGATTGTGCAAGATTTTTGTCCATCATGAGCAGGAAAATTCCTGTCAAATGACGGAAAAATGGATGGCGGCTAGAACCCTGGGTTAATAATGGTAGGGCTAGACTAGCCCCGTGTGCTTACTTCCTGGCTACAGTGGTGACCCTGACCCTTCTCTGTCCACTCGAGTGTTGGTACTGCGTGATGAACTGGACACAGCCACGACCTCCCTGTGGGATGGGGGCATTGTGCTGCAACAAATATCATAGCCCTGTTAGCTGGTGTATAACAACATTCCATGTCTCAAACTTACTAGATATCACTGCAGTGATATGTGATTTTACTACATGTACTAGCATTTCTTATACAAAATAGCAACAAATAGCAGAAACTTTATATGGTAGGGTCACATTTCTAACACACACAAAAGGGTAAAAAAAATCATAATGATAATTTGTGTGTATTATTAATATGCATGTTAATTTTTTTTTTGTTCATTCAAACTGTCTGGCCAGTTCCTGGCTTGGAAATGTGGCCGTTGCATTAGCTGGTGCATAACAACTATCATAAAAGTTCATCTGTGTTGGTAGTTACATGTTTAAGGGTGAAATTTTGATCCAACACAAGACATTGTTCTGATCTAGAGCTTTTGACCAGTCTCTGGTCTTCTTCAATAAACTGCTCTAGGTTTAAAGCTCTAGGTGAGAACAATCTCTTGTGTTGGATCAAAAATTTGAACTTTACAGCCACTAAAAATAACTGCAGAGATTAAAATACATAACATTGTACAAACTGAGTGTGCTAGCATTTCTTACTTACCTGGTTGACTACTTCGAAGAAGAAGGCTAGTGTAGACGTAGGGTCAAAGCCACACATCTTCCACTTACATGTTCCTCCTCTGCCGATCTCCTGCAATCACAAAAAAACTTGTGTCACACAGAAAAACTACTGCTTCTTTCAATAGACTTTCTTGTAGCAAATACCAAGACTAGAAGGACAACATTGTACATTTAGTCAACATCACAACTTAGATCTTTGATTTATTATCTTTTTTTTGGTTTTCAACATTTAACATCCAACCTTTGCATCATATAAAGTCCTAATATATCTATACACATTTTTACACACACATGGTACAAAAAACATACATGTGTTATAAAATATGTTCATAGAAACTTACATTTTCGGAGACACAGGCACTTTTTGTGCCCATGGACACACATGGTCCCAGGGCTCCCTGTACCTTCAGTTCTCGGGAAGTCTGAAATGAGACATTACAAAACAGTAAGGGTCAGGAAAATTATTCTAAAGGGCACCTGGCATTGCAAAAACCTTCTTTTCAAACACTAATTGTTACTACTATTGCAGAAACTTCCATACAAGTTACTTCCATGCACAGAATTAGCACAAGACAACAAGTACATAAACTAACATAGACTACATTTCTGCACCAACACCATCAAGCTAATTTCAATCATTATCTTAATAACAAGCTACTACTAGACAAAGCACAAAATATACCTTGACTTCAAGGGCTCCCCCAAAAGACATCTGGAACTCTCCCTTCCTGTCTTTTGAAAACACTCTTTGGAACGTCTGCTTGAACAGTGAAGTGTTGAAGGAATCACCCATGACCATGTGGCCCCTATAGATCACAGGAAACACAATATTTCAGCAAGGGCATATGTTCAACATAGGTTTACATTTGCAAAAACAGAATGAAGATACAGCCATCATTTTTACATGTGATAAGTGTTCACTGGTTCCGTCAGATCATTTTATTGATTGATGATGCAGAAAATGATGGATGTCACTCGAAATGTCTGCAAATAATCTACATATGTACATATTATTAAGTAAACATAACATAAGTCTTTTTTGACCCAACATTTGGAAACTAGAGACGGAATGTTAACCTTATATACACGAATATGACCTGATATGAGACCTGCTGCCAAAGTGCTATGTACATGTATAATGTATTACAGGTTTTGCACGGGTGCATTACGGTCTGTCCACGTACTGTGTTAATGGCAGGGTTCTAGCTAGTGCAAAGTAGCGTAGATTTTGACCCCCTACGCTAAATTTTCCCCTCTACACTATAATTTTGACCCTCTACGCTAAATTTCCCCCCTATGCTAATTTTTAATACAGCATAGGGGCATTGTGACAGTGTATTTCTTTGTTCGAGAATGCCAGATCAAATGTGAAAAATCAAAGATACATTGTACATACCTTAGAAATAACATTTTTCCGCTTCGCTCCCTCATCATGCGGCCAGTGCCACTACGCTAAAATTAAATCCTAGCTAGAACCCTGAATGGCTTGTCCCTTACCCTGTGTAGTTGCAGCAGTACTTCATCTCGTGCAGGCCCGTCTGGTCCAGAGCGCAGGCGTAGATGTCCACAACATGGCCGTTCTCAGCAGCCCTGTTGGCCAGTGCTTCAAAGTGCTGAGGGCAGGAAGCAAGATTTTATTTGTCAATACTTGGGCAAACTCAGGCCTTAATTTGATTATTGGTTTGGCTGTTCTACTCTGTGGCTATTACAAAAACATGTCTGACACTGTCTGCGAGTAGCATGGAAGACAGGAAATGGTAACAAGAGGGCTTGCTTCTTTGCCAACAGAATGGTGGTATGGTGGAATAACCTACCAGAGAAAGTGGTGACGTCACCTAGCATGAACGCTTTCAAGGAAAGACTAGACTTACACATGAACGTAAAAAACCTGATGTTCGACTACAGAGCTCTGGATCACCCTCAGAAACCAGAAATGTCGGTGCACTGAAAGTGATGAGCGGCCTAAACTGGAACCTAAGCTCCTACGTGGCTGAAGACATCTACTCTACTCTACTCAAAGGGCTTACCCTGCTGACAAGACATGACAACAAGACATAACAGCAACTCTAGCCTTTATAGTGGTGTAACATCTTCGACTGGCCATATAAAGAAGAACCTGACTGAGGGTTGCTTCATAACTGAGGCATTTTAAAATGTAAAAAAAGAAACAACAGGTACACTGTGTGTGTACTACCTTTTGTACTAGACCATAGTCATGGGAGAAAGTTTTCAACCATACTGTCAATCGTACAAAACAGTTGCAAAATGAGCAAAAATATTACCATAAGTTAAAAAAAAAATAATAAAAACCATACCAACGTCGTAGAATGCCAAAATCAAATGAAAAAAGACGAAATTGTAAAGAAATGAACTTGAAGACTAGATTATTCGCCAAACCATATTCTGTGCCATTTGCTCAACCCTCATGACCACATAGATTTCATAATGAAAAGAACTTTTTTTTTTGCAAAACTTTTTTTTTATTCGCACACGCGCATCAGTTTTGGGGCTCCCGGAGGATGTCATCCATATAATCAAATCAACATGGCCTAAGCAAGAACCGGGGTCTTTACCTTGGAGGCTTTCTTCATGTACTTGACATTGTCCTTCTCAAGGTCGTGGTGTGACCTGATGGGGTTCTTGAGGTCGTTGTCGACCACCATGCCGGGCCCCTGGGTGGGGGGGCCGCCCATGAACAACATGATGCGGGCCCCAGTGTTGGGATAGGTGCACTGCAGGGGGATGATAGGACTTGGTTATAACAATGTTTTCAGAAAACAACGTAATAGTATACAAATGACAAGTTATTAAATCCATGAGTAGTTTCATCAGGTTGGTAAATGATTGAAGTTCTTTATTCGTTCCAGCTGTGAACCAGTCATTATTACCCTGATGAAGTTGAAGACACACTGTGCCCGCTCTTTTTGTGACTGAAGAACTTTACTATTCAAGTTATGAGATCAGCATGAAAGAAAACCTTTTTTATGATGCAGATAGTGCAGTTCAAATACAAAACCACCACCCCTTCTTCAGCGCCACTAATGAACTAACAGAACTATTCAAAACATATATATGAGAAAAATACATCTGGTCGTGTTTCCTTACCTCCAGAAGTCCCACAGCGATGGACAGGGCCACTCCAGTGGACCTGAGAGGCCGCTTGCCCTGCGCCACAGGCCACGGGTCTCTCTGCAGCTCTCCCAGCAGATCAGTCAGGCTCATGTCACACTTGTGGACTGGCTGGAGAAACCTACAGGAGACAAGTGTTCATGTAGCAGACAGTTTGTCACAAAAATCACTTTCTAACAAAGCGAAAACAGGGTAAAAAAATGATGACACTGTGAAATAGTTAGGAAAAAAGGAGGATAAGAAAAAAAAAGTCATGTGTCATACCGGTACCACCATTTTTTTGGTAGAGGCTCAGTATCTTTCCTTCATAACATAAAGGTTGAATAAATACAAAAAGAAAAAGGATGGACATGACCTATATTACATTTCTATGTAACTATCTTCTTAGTCTATGACTGCCTTATTGGTTACTGGACCTACAAAATTCATTTGATGTTAAGTAAAAATAGCGCAAGATCTGTTAAAAAACAGCTCACTTAGTATTGTGGAAGTTAAAAGAAGTAACGTATAAGTGAGCAAGCAAAGTAAAGGTAATCAGAAAAAGGCATTCAGACAAGATGGCAATAACAAGTAGAAGTGGTTAATTACATAAGCGAATGTGATTATCCCAAAGACAAGACGAGATAACATTAGTGAGTTAAGAAAGTTAGGGTTGGAAATACCCACTCTTGCACTTTCGCAACGTAAGTCATGGGTCTTGTGAGAGACTTCAAGTTATGACTTCTGAAATTAACTGTGTTCTATCTCAGCCGGCATGTGAGCTTTACAGATTGCCTGGGTTATGGTGCCTTCTACATTGTATAAACAGCCAGTGTTAACTGCAGCATGAAACATTGACATGCAACCTAGCTTTTGGCTTAGGTTGTCTTATGGGCAACCTGAGAAAGTACTTGGAACCCTGAAGGTACCCAGTCCGTACCTGTTCATGGGGGTCTGTGGTGGCTGTCCTGGCTGCTGGGGGCCCTGAGGACCCTGACCCTGCTGGGCCCCCTGGGGAGACAGCTTCCCTATCCCCAGCATCTCCTGTGGGCAAACATGAGCAACAAGGTCATCACCACCATCTCTTGTTATCTACCATAGTGTACCATAATTGTGTCAGTCATCCGAAAATACAGTGATGTGTATTGTAGATTTATGTTTAAGTTATGATGGCCAATTCCCTACTACTGTAAATCATGAAATGTTCACTATGGTTTTCTGTTCATGCTTTTTGCTGGGACCTTTTTTCATCATAGTACTGTGAACATGTAGTTGGTCACGCTCCTCAGTTCGCTCCCTAGTTTCAGTCCCTTCCCCTCTACCATAAAACATGGAAACGTTTACTCTTCTCTCTCAAAAAAAAATCAAACTGGTGTGCATGCACTGTAAGGGGTGATCTTTTAACGTGGGAGATACCAACTAGAGGCTAAAGGGGCTAAAGTCAAGCACACTTCACCTACAGTCAATCATACTTTGTCTGACTGAAAACTGAGGGAAAGTACAAGACAGACAAATCACCTGTATCTGTTTGGCAGTCAGGTCCTTGGTGCCCCTGAAGACGTAGCTCTTGGAGCATCCCTCACACCCCAGCTCGTGCACCTGGATCATCTTTCCAAAGGTGATGAGACCGATCAGGGCATTGGGAGGCAGGAGGCTGAGGGACATCTGGAGAGACTCCTTCAGGGCCTGCAGGTCCTCATCGTCCATACAGGTGTCCAGGACTATCAGGTAGATCAGGGGCATGGCAGGGACTCTCTGGAAGTGTCAGAATTACGCAAACACACACTGTCAAATAACGTACAGTCATAAGGCCTAGAAAAAAAAATTGTGTTTCCTATTTCCCGACCGACCCTAGAAAAAAGTTGGATGATCACAAGAGATTGCCAAAGTCCAATAAAAAGATTAAGAAAAGATAATCCCTAGCTACCGACACTAATTTTTTAAGGAGTGAAACAGGAAACAACATTTTTTTCCTAGGCCTAAACAATGGTAACATCACAAGTATGTGTAAAATCAATTGGAAAAAAGTGATGATCATGAGATAGGAGTAAAAGAAGTCAGGCCAGTCCAAGAATGAAGAAAACCAGCCTCGGGAGAAAGATGGTGGAAATTTGAAGGAAGAAGAAGAAGGAGGATAGACAGGACTGACATACCGGCACATCCTGACGGTACACAGAAAACACAAGAGATGAGTTAAAACTCTTATACACATTCGAATTACTGAAAGTGACAGAAACAGCAAGACAGGTCACAAATAACCATTGAACTGTATTAAACTTCAGAACAACATATCAGAATGATCAAACATTTCATGACAAAGACTTATGGTCATTCTTATAAGATTCATCAAAACTATCAAAAGCCTTTATAAGCCTACCATAGATCTGAACAGCAGAGATCTATTTCTATCATCTTTGGTTCAGAATATTTCGAGTACTCTTTTTGTCTGTGAACAGCCCCAGCTCCTTACCTGGAGGGTGTACTCAATGGTGGAGAACTGTGGGATGAGCTCTGCTGGTTGCTGCTGCTCAGAGATGCCTGCATACTGAGGTGGGAACTGAACAACAGAACAGAGAAATCAGTTACCTGTGTACTGTACAAGTCAGCCATTTTTACATACTACACATAGTACAAATATATGTCACAAGTTCTCACAACCAGGTCCACTCAAACTACTTTCTGATAAAGCTCACGGTATAAATGTTTACACAAAACCTAATTAAGGAAATAAACAAAATTTTAAGCACATGACACATGAACTTGACAACTTATCAACATAGAGGAGCACAAAGTACATAATTATGGATTATACATGTACATATACAACTTACTTAATCTGTTATATCTGTATCTACATGTACTTACTGGGTTTCTCTGGTAGCAGAAATTACACGCCCAAAGCTTTGCTCTGAAGTCCACTTGACTGTCACAAAAGATCGGAACAGAATGTTGAGTAAGAAGATAAATTTGTAACCACTGACTCTAGACAATAAGCTAACAGACAATCCCAAGAATAACATTGATGTCATTAATGCTGTAGCTGTATTTCTTTACAAGTTAAATCAAATGCCTTGACTCACTTAACTGTGTCTGTATGTACTGATATCCTTCCCCAGGTCGATGCCAGTGAGAATCTTTTTGTGGTCATATAGACCTACAATACTGTAATCCCACTGAAAGAAACATTTTATCATTTTGTTTTGTTCTGTTCTGTTGTAACAGTTCTTTTATTTTCAGCACTGTGCACCCTGCATGTGATAAACCTGCGACTTTGTCCGACATACACTGAAGATGTAGATATTACCAAATATAGACTTGTCTTACCAGTAGGGGTTGAGTATTGCCCTACAGGTTGCCCTGCCACACAGCACCGGGTCATACTGGATAGGTGGGAGGTCTGGGCGCTCCTTCATCGGGGTGAAAAGGCACCCCAGTGGGACGACCATTCTGAATGAATGAATAACAGGTTTATTCAATAATAAAATAACACCACAGATAATATGCCATTACAGCTACAATCCCTGAATTGGGACATATTCGACAATTAAAAGATGTGTTATTATGATACCTCCAAATAGTTATCACAAATACATTCAGAAGAGCGGACGAGGCTAGCCATTAAATATCTCAACAAGGAACGGTATTGTGCTGTTTCTAAACCTACTAGAAGTTCTGCACCTGAATTGAGAATGAGAGATTTTGGTTGAATGGTTTTTAGACCTCAGCATTCTACCATGTATATCCTCACGTCTGGGAGGTAGCCAGCTAGCGTAAGTGGGTGATTTTATGACACAGGAAATGCAAATTTTCTACATCGCTTGATGCGTCTCTGGTACAGTGTGGTCACACTCAGAGATAGTTCATCATCATCTTATCATCTTATGTACTACTTAGCCCGATTTATATCGGGTTGGCTTAACGCTAAGCAGCCGACGCTAAGTCATAGTTTACAAGCACGTTGGCAGAACGTACTGCACCTGCGAGAAACCCGCAATGTATTGTGCATAGCACTTTGGCAGAACGTCTCATATAAGGTTGTATTCGCGCATATAAGGTTAGCATTTCGACAGTAGTTTCCAAATGTTGTGTCGGAAAAGATATCTTCTGCAACAGACAAAATTCTAATGCAACGTTGACCAAAAATCCACCGAAAACCGTGAAAATATGGGGTTCTGCGCAGGTGCAGTACGTTCTGCCGACGTGCTTAGTTTACATATGTAGTTCTGACCTGGTGGCCTCCAGGCGGCTGGAGGGCCAGACGTTCCAGCTGAGCCTGATCCCATCCCGGTCCTCGTTCTGCTGGATGTAGTCCTGGTACGTCTGCTGGGGCACGGCCTGCTGGTAGTTCGCCATTACTACTCAACGCCTTCGATCACTGCAGAAAAAAAAGTACCAAATTATGTAACCTCTGTAGTACTGTAGGTCAACATTTATGTCAAGCCTGTCCAAAAAAATGACAGGGCTTGGTTTTCTTGTTTTTTCTTTTAATGCCCACAATCATGATAATGATCATTCTGGCATACTCATAATTAACACCTGAGCGAAGTGAGGAAAGTCGTGTAAAGTGCCTCTCCCAAGGGCACAAGGTTGGTGACATGGCAGGATTCAAACACCGGACCTATTGGTTCTGAGCCGAATGCTCTGCCATTGCGCCACACGACCCCACTGCCTACAAGTTCCAGATTTCAGTTGTCGAGCGGGCCCAGATCAAACTTCTTTTCAACAAGAGTGACCCCTGTCTGGAATAGACTCTCAGCAGCAACCAGAACTGTGAACAACTAGCAACTGTGAACAGCAGTTCAGTTAATAATCCCTTCAAGAACAAACTGGCTGCGGAATGGAAAAACCACCAGGACCGTTACGGCTACAACTTCTCCTACTGAACTGTCTTAACTACATGGACGGTCTCATAATTACCCTGGGAAACTTTACCGATTAACCAGGATTCAGATGAAAATTCGGGTGAATATGAAAAATTATAAATAGGTCAGCTTTATACGTGTGTACTGCTAAGTAAGATATACGTGTACAGTTAGTATTAGTCCGTTCCACGCGTCAGGTAAGTTTGTTTTGTTGCGGAAAGCGTTCCACGTTACCGGTGACACGTACCAAGAAAGTGTTTCGGCAAAGCCACGTCGCCATGCCCCCCTCCCCACTGTCGTAAACTTCCTTGGGTGAATTACCGTATCAGGGTTTATACGTAAAGCTTCATTGCTTGGGCACCTATCACAGAACGCTGAAGGAAACCATATATGCCTGACAAACACTATATACATGGATTTGGTAGAGCAAGTAAAGAAACTGAAAGGCTGTCGTGTAACACCGTTCGCCGTCTGCTAGTGAAAAGTGCCGTCTGTAAAAAATCATATGCGACACATGCGACGCCGGTGGCTTGTTTTACCGTCTATATTTCCACATTCTGGATCCCGAAGGAACGAAAAGGGGCCTGGAAACGTTACACGACAAGTTACTAGTACATTTGTATCATAAACACTTACCTAAAGTCTGCCAAACGCCGGTTCTTGTGGACAGAAACACCCAAACCCGGAACGTCGTCGACGCTACCGGAAATAGAGCGATGCCACGTAGGAACCCAAGTCTCGTACCCAGCATGCAACAGCACTCGACTTGTCAAACCGTTTTTTCCCCCGTTTTTACCGCATTTATCAGCAAGAAAACTTAATCAAGAAGAACTAAATATCTTTGTTTATACTTAGGGCTCACTTTGGTCTAAAGTTTTAGTCAGAAACGGACAATATATGAAATTCGTTTACCTCTCGCAATTTGCGAGATCATGGAAACGAGATCTTGTTGACCTCGCTTGCTGACCTTTCAACTTCTCAACTTTCTTGTGATCAGACAAGAGAAAAGACGACTTTGTCCGTCCTTTCGTCATGTTTCGGTGTTTGGGCGTCCAGAAAGTAATACAGGCACACGGGAAACAGTGTAACAGCGTGTTCGTATTGAGAGAGTATCATGCCAAACATGGTGTCTTCGGATATCGACCCAAGAAGGCCCCGAAAGAGGAGAAAGGTAACGTTACCACAAAAACATCCGGTCGAAAGCTAGTATGCTCTGGGAGTGTGCCTTATGGTCACGAACAAATTAACCACGTTACTATAGGAGCTTAATTTCTATGCATAATTGACTGTGTGTTTAACGTAGAGTAGGAGAAAACACTTGTTAGTTTCTGAGGAAATGACAGTTGCAAGCTTATAACTTATAACTCCTTATAACTTAAAACTTAACTTATAATCCCCAAGCAAATGCTCATTCAATCATTTTCATTCATTGACTCTTTTAGAAACTAACAGAAAAAAAATTGTTGAACTGACACAAAATCACAAATGGTTTGACTGTCTGATCCACCTAATTTTGTACCACCTTACCCTTACTGATGCCCATGCTTTGCACATACCTGCAGATGAAAACATGACCTTCCAGCTAGAGTTCTTCATGATTAGTCACCAAGTGTTAATGCCTAGAGAGACAATTGACTGAACCAAGCGTAAAACAGCACCTAGAGACCATGTCTAGCAATATAATAGACGTTGATTAAACAAGGACAACAACAACAAGGAAAAGAGTTTAAAAGTTTGAGATTGTTTCCTTTTTGTTTGTTTCAGTAAGTAACAAAGCCTTCCAGAACAGGATTCACAATGCTAACCTACTGAGGCTGGTGTCTGCCTACAGAGACCATGGACACAAGAGGGCCAGGATTGATCCTCTGGGACTGAACGCCATTGAGTATGTACTGTAGTATAAATTTGACGGAATTCATTCCTCAGCTAATCTGCATCTTGCACACGCAGTCGTCCCTCAGTAAGACATCTGGAGCCACAAAGTTCCCGTTAAGAACTTTTATTCAGCCTGTCACACGACCTGTTTTGCCTGTGTGGTTTCTTCAAGTGTACAGAGGCTAAATGACACAAGTAACATTAAATTCTCACTTATATACTATATATACCTTTCCAGTGCATAATTGAGTATGTACTGTACTACTAGTAGTTACATTGAGTATGTAACTTTATTGCATATAAATGAGAAATAAATTGTCCCCCAACTCACTGGAACGTTCCACCAAATCCCTGGGTCTTCATTAGCTATCTGACCCAAATTGTTTTCTGTTTCAGGGAAATACCATCACTGAATCCTGAACTGTACGGGTTTTCAGGACAAGACTCAACAAGACTTGATCTACAAGGTTTGATAGCATTATGATACTAGCATAATATGATACTTCATCTTCATCTTTGCCGGGGCACTGAGATGTTATATGAACCCCGGCTACACCCCCATATAGCCCCTGATGGGGCACTTTAGGGGGGATACAATACGATGATAAATATAATGCACTATTACAGGAGTTTGATTTTTCTGCCAATTTTTTTTTTTTACACAGTAAAGATTACGTATGAAGGAACTTGAGTTGGATAAAATCTTGGTACCTTTCCATAGTACAATGTACTTCTACTGTTCCAGGTATTCTACACACTTGGACGGAGTCAGCGACCATCACTGATATCCTAAAGCACCTAGAGGATATATACTGTGGTCCACTGGCGGTTGAATTCCATCAGTTGGTTGTAAGTAGTGGATTGTTTAGAGGATTGGAAATAACACTCAAGTCTTACTCAAGCAGCATAGTTTATTCCTTTGCATATTTTCAACTTTAAAAGAATGGTATATAGAATGAATTATTTCATATGGCCCCAATGTGTTGATTTTGACAGTGCCAACTTTAGTTCTTAGAATTAGTTACTATTATAGTAAATGTAAGAAGACCACAATGGAAAGGGAAGGAGTACACAAAGTTGAATGCCTGATTAAAGTAAACAAAGTGGAAATACATGTACATGTAACTGTAGATGATCTTCCTAAGCAATAGTATTATAGAATTGCCTAAACAGACTAACCTGTCTATGAAACTGTACATATATTTTCAGACTGAAGAAGAGAAAGAGTGGTTTTCAAGGCAGTTAGAGCAGCAGCATGGAGAGGCACTTCCAGTTGACAGGAGAAAAGAGCTCGCTAAAATACTGCTGGAATCTCAGGTATATTTTAAAACTTGTCAGGAGTATCAGCCTAACTGTTGTCTGCTCCCCACGATCTGCTACTGGCCAATTGCAGATTGTGGGGTGCGGACAACAGCTTAAAAGGCTGACACACAGGCTAGGTTTCAGTCAGTTCCTAGCAGAAATTATATGCATGTTTTGAACTTATCTATGTGTCACGGGTACTTTCATTGACAGGGTATGTTTTATGTCTGTTGCCAGGATATCATCACCTATCTTAATCTCCAAGCAGATTTTTTGGTGGGGGTAAGACAGTATCAAATTAGCCAGCCTGTATCTATTTGCCCACTTGAAGGATACAGGCTGGCCAATTTGATACTTTCTTACCCCCACCAAAAGATCTGCTTGGACATTAATAGTATCTATCCATTCCCTAGGTGTTTGACAATTTCATGGCAACAAAATTCACCACAGTGAAGCGGTATGGAGGGGAGGGAGCCGAGTCTATGATGGGCTTCTTTGATCAGGTCTTCAGACAAGCAGCTGAAGGTACAGTATAATTATACACAGTATTTAATTCATCTGGTGTAGTGGAGTGAGTAAGAATATAGCAGAATTGAAGCTATTTGTACAGTTGAACTTAACAACTGGATCTATCAAAGTTCTCACTACAGTACTCACTACACCATTGTAAAAATCAGTGTTATTCAGCTTGTATGTGCACTACATGTAGCTGCAAGGCTGATTTTTATTAATAAAACTTGAACTTGAAGTTAAACTGTACCATTATGGATCTATCATTATGATAGTCTTTGTACATGAGAATAGAGAAAGGCCTTTGACCATAATACGTACTGTGCTTCTTACTAGTATCATGCTGTGTAAAGGCTTTACAAAAAGGTTGAGAAGTGGGTTTAGTTCCCCTTTTATACAGTTTGTTTGTTTGTTGAATCCTTGAACCACATAAGACAACAGGTGCATTTGTGTGGCCCACTCTAGATGGTATCCAGGATGTTGTTCTGGGCATGCCCCACCGTGGAAGGCTGAACCTGCTGGCAGGAATGCTGAACTTTCCCCCAGAACTTCTCTTCAGGAAGATGAGAGGCCTGCCAGAGTTTCCTGATGGCGTGCAGGGGTCTGGGGATGTGCTGTCACACCTCAGTAAGCTCATTTGTTTAAATTTTTGCAGTCTAGTTTCCACTATTGATGGCTAAAGTTTTATTTATTGGTCATGATGATTTGAACCCATGTTCAATGATAGTTTATAGAAGTACCCTTGGATTATTCAAAGACAATTCAAACTCTACTACAGAACAAATTAGGGAGATCATTTCCCAATGTTTCAAGTGACATCCATCACTCTTCTTCAGCATCACTTAAGGCTCGAATAGTCTATACGGTAGCTTTATGGTATTTTGAGGTGTACAATACTTCTTGTTCCAGAATTGCTGGACTGTACTTTAAATTGTATTTGATTCTGTTCCAGCTGCTTCCACTGACCTGCAGTATGACGATAAGTCTGTCCATGTCACAATGATACCCAACCCTTCACACTTAGAGGTAAGCATTTAATCAGTCAATTAAACAAGGTCTAGTATACTACCCGGTACTCTGGGAGTGTTATACCTCATTTACAGCAAAGGTCATGATTGAAATAATCTAGAGGTCTGAGACTTATATTTTGTTGTTGTTTTAACATCTGAAAGTCATAAGTAAACCTTAAATCACACTACTTCTAATGATGCCTCTAACCTATGATGCCTTTAATGGGTATAAAGAGAGGATGGTATCTTAACACCTCAAAGTCAGAGGCACATGTAGATATAAAATCACATTCTGGATATGGATAGATACTATGAATACCCCTTAAATTAGGGTTAAGTGCCCAGGAAGTGGTACTGTGCAGTTATGGCCAGTTCCTCAGATTATGGGAGACATCCTCTCTGCACTTTTCTGGATCTGGTATTTGGGTGGTTGTATAATGTGTATAATGTAATCTATGATGTTTTTTATAAGTGTAAAGACAGGTTTGATGTTGTTGTGTTTGCCCAGGCCTGTAACCCAGTAGCAGCAGGTAAGACTCGAGCGGCCCAGCTGCACCTGAGGGAGTGGGACTACTCCCAGGAGGAGGGTGACAGTCAGCAGGGGGACAAGGTGCTCTGTCTGCAGATCCATGGAGACGCTGCTTTTACCTCACAGGTCAGATCAACTATAAGTAGTGCTGCGTACCGGTTCACTGGACTTGGATCTGGACTTGTAAGAATGTTTAGGTTCAAGTCCTAAAAAACCTAAAAGTCAAGAACCGAGTCTGGACTTATTACCATAAAAGACCATTTCACATACCCCTTTTCTTTCCAAACCACCTAAAAACTTCCGTAGATTGCAAAATCTTTGCTGCAAAATGAAGAAAACATTGTCATCGGGCATCGTCAAGTACCGGCCTCCATGTTATGCGGCCAAAGTTTCACCCAGACAACATTGCAACGTTGCCAACATGCAATTTTGTATATGCCATGGGTCTAGGAGGTCCGGACTTACAAGTCCGGAACTGAACCTAAATCTCTGGACTTGAATCTGGACCTGAACCTAAAATTGGGTTTAGGTATGCAGCACTAACTATAAGACACAAGATTGTCGTGCCTTCAAGTACCTGTCAGTTATCAGCTCAGTTTAAAAGAATTGAGGTTTAGAGTATTTTTGTAGAATTATCGTAGAGTGGGACTCCCCGCTACCAGGTACAGTTGGGGCATCATCACTAGCTATATCTTTAAGTAATGCTTGAAGTAGCAATTAATACCCAAATTGGCAGTTTTTTGCAGCCCACACAGGGGCGTACCCGAGGGAGCCATTCTCTTAAATATCGGCCCATTAACGCACGCACTGACACATACAGATTTTCTTTTTTTCCCCGTACCATTCCACAGTGGAACTCCTTACCCGGCCCGGTAGTCGTGGCTCCCAATGTTGAGTCGTTCCGGGCCGGGCTGGCGGCCTGCCCGCCTTAGCCTTGACCTCCCCCCCCCCTAACGGCACCCCTCGCGGGGTTATCTGGGGGTAATCAAGATGACGATGACGATGACGAAGTTAGATGTGCAAAGGTTGTTCGGTGTAATATAGGCAGCTGCCACCATGCTGTTTGCCTGCTAAGCTGGTCTGTTATGCCGAAGGATGGTTGTACCAGCTATACAGATACAGTACCAATTAGAGGTCCTGTCACATATGAATAATATATAGCGATGGTCAGTTCAGTACCAAGGAGAAGTCCAGTCACAGGTATGTAATATTTAGCAATATCCAGTTCAGCACTAAGTCAGATACAGATTTGAATGTCTGTCAGAAAACATTGTTATTGGTACTGATAGTTCCTGCCATTACTGTTCTCTGCTTCTTTTTCTTTCTGCTTTAAAGCTTCACTTATTACTTGTGTAAGTTACACTATCACATTGACTATAGTATGCTAAGACTATACAAAAGTTTCAGTCCATCCTTGGTGTGTTGTATTGCAGGGTGTCGTAGCAGAAACTCTGGGTCTGGCGGATCTTCCTCATTTCCACGTGGGAGGCACGGTACATCTCATCGCCAACAATCAGCTGGGCTTCACCACTGGTGCAGAAAGGGGGAGGTAGGCTTGGCATTTTTCCCTTTTCAACTTTTTTTTCCATCCTCCAACTTACTAATAATTCAATGTACTGAACAGGCTTCTTCATATTTTACAGTCATCATGAAAATACTATATAGTACCATAGGTAAGATATTTGGAGTATTAGGAAAGGATCCTGCTTCAATGCTTGCTTGTACATGTAATATAGTCTGCATTGTAGTATAGAGTAGAATAGAATGATGAATAGAAGGTGTGCACTGATAGTGAACCCTTGTGAGAAGAAATACCAGGATGATAGGTTCTGTGGATACAATGATCTGAATGCTGAAATTTAAAGACCTTTAATATGTTTTGAGCGTTCAGATCATTTCTCTATAGGAGGTACATGTACTTACTGTTGCTCGTATGTAACTTTGCAGATCAAGTCGTTACAGCAGTGACATTGCCAAAATGATTGACTGTGCAGTAATACATGTCAATGGAGACTACCCAGAGGTTAGTTACAGCAGCTGCTACACCTTTGACAAGATTTTCAATGGAAAACCACCTTCTGATTTTCTCTGAACTGTCTTAAACTGTTGAACTGTCATATTCCTTTGTTATTTCCTTGATTTGTTTTTGTATTATTGCCTTAATTACTTTGAGTTGTGGCTCTTGGTTTGACAAGTTTGTTTTATTACCACCTTACTGAGTTGCGGCATTATATAGTACTTTTACTTTTATTTGTACTAAGTTGACTTTAATTTGTACTTATAAGTTGACTTATCATTTTGTTATATCTGTTATTTTCTTGTATATTTTATTTATGTATGCCTGCAGGGCACATTGAAAAACGCCTTAGTGGCGATATGTTCACCCTGGGTAAACAAATAAAAACAAACAAACAAACAAACAGCACCACGGAATTGTTACTGGTTAGTGAGCGTGTGCGTGTTATGTATTTTTCTTCAAGCATGAATTGATTTTCGTTTCACTCTGGCAGGAAGTCATCAAGGCTACCAAGCTGGCCATGTCCTACAGACAGACCTTCCGCAGGGATGTGATAGTGGACATGCTGTGTTTCAGGAGGTGGGTGGATGGAACAGTTGTTTGTTATTTACTATTGTTATTATGATTTGCAGTTCTGCATCCACTTTGTTATTTACTTACTGTTATTATGGTTTGCAGTTTTGCAACCTCTTTTTGTAACAGTTTTG